CCACTATCTTCCCGGCAGGAGATATAAAAATAGTAAAAGTTGGAAGGGAAGAGACTGGTCCACAATGCTGGGAATCGAATGTACTGGTCCTCTATACTTGGAATTGAATATACTGGTCTTTAATACTTGGATTTGAATGCACTGGTCCTCCATACTGGGAACTGAAATGTACTGGTCCTGTATATTTTACATCAAACATATTGGTCCTCTATACTGGAAACTGAAATGTACTAGTCCTCTATACTGGGAATTGAAATGTACTGGTCCTCTATACTTGAAACTGAATGGACTGGTCGTACTGGAGGACTGCTCTAAGGCATACAAGACAAACTGGACCAGTACGCATAATTTACAAGTTTTACTGGCTTTTCCTTCTGGGATGTCACATGATCCAGACCAGTACATCACACCATCCAGTTTTACTGGTTTTCACTCTTGCACCGGGTTAAAAAAAAGGCGTTTTTTTGTTCACATTTATCTTAATAAAGCAAACCAAAGGAAGTTTCAAACAAAGCTCCATAATACGAACAAGGAACAAGAGGAGGCCATGCGGCCCTTCGATCCTGCTCCCCCAATCAATAAGATCATGGCTGATCTGATTTGAACTCCAGCTTTACATTCCTGCATATCCGCCGATAATCTCCCAAATCCCTTGGGAATTGGGAACCTGTTCATCTTTGCCTCAAAAATATTTCAAGATTCTGCATCCACTGCCTTTTGAGGAAGAGAATTCCTCACAGTTGGAGTTTTCAGTCGGTTTCCCAGGAAGCAGGTCAATTGTCTGGAATGGCCAGGTCTCTCCCGTGGTCCCATCCACTGTTGATGTTGTATTTTATGGAATTCTCTTCGCACGGGGGACTGTAGCTTCTCGCCAGGGTTGGGAATGGTGTCTGACAAGAGCTGGAACGCTGGCTGGTTTCCCTGTTCCGGTTGCTGTGTGTCTGAGCGGCCGCACGTGGGAGTGAGGGACTGTTGACAGTGCTGTTCGAGGTGAGGTCTGGGATATCGACCAGGCTCTTCCAATCCCTCCGTGCCGGGGCTGGGGGTTGGAGAAAGGCAGGGGAGCAGTTCCAGCTGGGTTCCAGGCACCGGGTCGGAATGCCAGACATTCCCAAATTTCCTGATTGGGGTTCAGCCGGAGGCTGCCCCATGGAAGTAGCTTCTGCCCCCAATACTGGGCAGCTTTTCAAACTTGTCTCATTAAGTGTTTTGAAAAGGGGTGACTGATGGTCAGTGGGGAGGGGGTGGGGAAGGGCTGGAAACACCTTTCTGCTGAAATACCCTCTCAATTACCCACCTCCTTCCACAGCCTCATGTTGCTCTTAAACTGTGAACTCCCTGGCAGATCCTCCACCTTCTCAGTGCCCTCTTGGATAACATTAGTTGGGTAGCGAATGTGACCTCGTGCCAATTAAGTCATCGCCTTAAACCCCTCCCATGAATTTTGGGACCCAGAACAATTCCCAGCTCCTGTTTTTCCCATCCCTGGAGTGAAAATGCAGACCACTTCGTGTGTTACGCAGATTAAACTCCGTGTTCCATCCTGAAGTGATTACATGGAACGCTGATCTACAGCTGCGGGGATAATGGTTGGTTTGATTACAGTTTTGAAGAAGTGTTAAATGCACAGCTGTTGAAAGAGTAAACACACATTATGCCAGACAGTACGGGTGTAGGAAAAAGAATAAAACTAAAATTGGTTCGAGTTCACAGAACACTTAATGCTCAAAAATGCATGAATTTATTTTACTCAGACAAGCCTTCCGGGCAGATATTAACACTGTTTGGTAAATGTTCTTAAAAATGCCTCTTCATTACTTTTTCTCCTGGCATTTCAACGATAGACACTCACATAGGTGTCATCTGCTGGTAAACTCTCGGCCACGCTCCCTCAAATTGGTTGTTGCAATGGAGGCAAAGCAAACATGCCCGGGAACTGGGAGCAGAGTGTCTGCCCTACAATTGGCTACCAACCACTTCAGTTCCTGGGCACCTACCACAGCGCACGGTCAGCCAGTTCCAGTATCGGCAGAGTATGCACTTTTAAATCCGAGGCGAAATGGACCACTTGTCGTTCGCTGTTCAGTGTAAACTGCAACAGAGGTGAGTGAACACTCAGGCAGGGCTTGGCTCTGCCTCGTTCAGTCTGATCCAGCTACACTGAGGCCAAGTCCAGCCAAACTCAGTTTGGGCGAAAGGGTGGGGTGTGTATCCTGGCACCACATTCCTCTCTGAACTCTGGACAAGTTGTGTCTGCTGTTGGATCACTGACAGAAACAGGCTGTGTTCAGTACTGTCTACACCACTACAAGATAACACGGGCACAATTTGGAAGCGCGCACAGGAACACAGGGTTTTGGGAGGTCCATGTACATCCATCTCAACAGCTGAGGTAGGACCACACAACAGAGGGGCAGGAAAGTGCGCAGGATCCTGGGCTTCATGAATTGAAGTGCCGAGTCCAAATCAGGGAGGCTGCGCTGAACCTTAATAAAACTCTGATTAGGCTACATGCTGAGTATCGCAATCAGTTCTGGTCAGCATGCTTTATTTAGGAAGGATGTGAGGCTTACCAGAAACAGTTCCTGGGTTGAGGGATTTCAACAACAAGGAGAAGCTGGGGTTGTTCTCCCTGGAGAAACTGATGGGAAATGCACAGGCCCATGACTCATTTCAGTAAGTTAGGCAAAGAGAAACAGCAAAGTTGGCAGGGGGGTGGGCGGTGTTGTAGCACGGTGGCTCAGTGGTTAGCACTGCTGCCTCACAGCGCCAGGGACCCTGGTTCAATTCCACCCTCGGGCAACTGTCTGTGTGGAGTTTGCACATTCTCTTGTCTGCGTGTCTGCATGGGTTTCCTCCGGGTGCTCTGGTTTCCTCCCACAGTCCAAAGATGTGCAGGCTAGGTGGATTGGCCATGCTAAATTGCCCATAGTGTTCAGGGATGTGTAGATTAGGTGTGTTACAGGGGGATGGGTCTGGGTGGGGATGCTACAAGGGTTGGTGTGGACTGGTTGGGCCAAAGGGCCTGTTTCCACACTGTAGGGATTCTATAGAAGAAACAGTTTCCCTAAGCTGGGTGGTACAAGGGTCAGGGCAAGAGATGACTGTGGGGGATGTGAGCAGCAGCTTTATTTTCCACACACCAAGTGGCAATGAGCTGGATACTGAGAAAGCTGGAAATGGCAACAATGAAGGATTTCAAATGGAAATTGGATGGGCACTTAGAATCATGGAATCCCTACAGTGTGCAGGCAGGCCATTCAGCCCATCAAATCCACACTGAGCATCCCAGCCCCCTTCCCCACAGCTCTGCGGCCAATCAACCCTAATCTAACATTGGGAGGAAAGCCATGCAGACACAGGGACAATGTGCAAACCCCACACGGTCAGTCACCCAAGGGTGGAACCGAACCTGGGTCCCTGGCGCTGTGAGGCAGCAGTGCCAATCACTGAGTCACTGTGCCACCCTAAGGAATGGTAAAATTAAAAGGCTATGAGGATAGAGCGGACAAATGGGATGGCTGGGGAAAAGCATCATGGATTCAATGGGTTGAATATCCTCGTTCTTTCCCATAAGAATGTTAATGAATCATATTAGTACAATCAGAAAGGATATCAGTGATCATTGAACTGATGTGAGCCAGGTTTGTTTTGGGGAAACAAATCTTGACCTTGTTACACAATTTTTGGACTTTACAGTTAATAGCTGTATACATGAAGCAGACCCAATGTGATCCAAATTGTTACAACAACCCAGTGGCTTACCTTCGGGCCATCAGGTCCTGGTTTCCCAGGAAATCCCCTCCTCCCAGGGCGTCCCTGGAACAATACACAGAAATGGACCAAAATTAATGCTAAATGTTGGATCGTACAAATAAATTTCAAAACTCATTTTAAGTCCCATTCGGTCATTGGTGAGTCTACTTTAATATGTCAGAACTTCACTGCAATTACACAACAGATAAGTGAAGATCACAGACCGCTTACCTCCGACATTTCTGGCGATGGCCCACATGGTTAATCAGCACAACAGCTATAAAAGGCACCAGGAACATAGTGACAAGAGGAGACCATTCAGCCCACAGTAATCCTGTGAGATCATGGCTGCTTTGTAACCCAATTTCACCAGAATTGGGCACTCTAATGGGTGCACCTAATTCCCTGGTCTGTGTTTTCAGAGAACAAGCCAAGGCAGATTTCAGATGTGACATACCTCAAGATTCATGTTAACCTTGAGATGGAAGGTGTGTAATTTATATATGTATTTTAGTATCATTTATTTCAGAGTTTGGATTTTGAACTGGTGACATATGGGTTTTAGTCTATGTGCATGAGGAGATTTAATGATTAACTTGTTTGTATTCCGAAGGTATGATAATTTTTAAATGAGTATGAGTGAGTGAGCCCTGGGGTACTTCTGGGAATTTGTTTTCATTGGGAGGATTTTCCAAATGGACAGGGCAAACTTGAGTAGCATTAGCTTGCCTTTTGTTTCGAAGGATCAGCATTTTTTTTTTGCTTCGGCGAACATCTCAGATCTTGAAAGGCTATTGTTTTTCTGTTCACAGAGGTCTTCGTAGAATTTATAACGTATGAAACAGTTTCTCCTGAAGAAAGAAAGTTCTGTAGAACTGTTAGGAAATGGGTTGCCTTGGTGTAAGGGTTTTAGTGTGAAAGCTCCAAACCAGAAGTATTTGGTTAGAACCCAGAAAGGATTATTTGAAGCTGAGAAAGTTTAAGCTCTGTTGTGTGACTAATCGAGTAAGAGGTTATCCAATTCATAAGACAGGGAATTGAGCGTTACAGTTAGGTTAAACCTGTAGCTGTGATACAGAAGCAAACACTCTCTGGTTCGGGCAACTTAAATGAGCATAGGAAATCACAAAGCTTTCTACCCCTCGACTGGTACCAATGCCCACGGCTAGAACTGCCAGGTTCTCCACTCGGCATGGGCCTGCCTTGCTATGGGTAAAATAGACCACTTAGGCATGTGAAAAGACCAAAAGATGGAGGTTAGAGGTGGCAGTGAAGTCTTGCCCTGAGCCAAATGGGTAGCAAGGCAGGAATGCCTGCCCTCTGAAAAATGCCCATGGGTTGAATTGGTTTGATATAAGTAATTTATTCTTTCTTCCCTATCCTTCCTTTACAGGGTCCTCTATGAAAGAATAGGTTCAGCCTCAAGCCAGAGACTTGTTCCATAAAGCTGGCTGTAACTCGACACAAACTGGTGCAGGAACACAACACAGCAATGGTTGATGTGGGAAAATGGGAAAATTAATACAGTACACGGTGTCATTGCGGAGCTGAGACAGTGTAAGAGGAGATTTCCTGTGAGTCTGGCTGAGCAGGACTAACTTTGATGTCGGTATTAGGTGCTAAGGAATATTCATGTCTCAGTAGCAATGTCCCTGACCTTACTCAACATCAAACTATTAATCTCCAGACTTCTACATGAAATAAGCACTTTAATCACCAACTAGTGAAAACTTCGGCATGAGTTCGCTTTGATTTTCTGCTCAAATAGTAGACTGTGGTCAATGCACACCTGGATTAAACCCCCCACTGTGTCCTGGTTGAGTAAAAATCTTACATTGATGCTGCAACTGAATTGGTAAATGGACTAAGTGGGTTATCAAGGGCGACAAAGAGATTGCATTGTAGATGTCACTCTCATTGGCGCTGTGGCCTATCCCAAATCAAAGTGCGGTTTAGGGACATCTGCACCCATTCAATGCTGGCCTTTCGATGTTAACCACTTCATCACTGATGGTCTGGGTCCTAAGCTCTCTCAAAAATCTCTCCTCCTTCCCCGTGAATAATATCCTCTTTGATCAAGCTTTAGACCACCGGTTCTAATGTCACCTTAAACATTTTAGTGTCAAGTTTTGCTTAATAAAGTTCATGAGTAGGGGCTTGGAACATTTTATTCTGCTAAAGGCCATGTATAACTCCTCGTTGTTGCTGTTTTATGATCAGCATCCCTTCTTTCTGGATAGTTACTTGTATATTAACTTCCGTTGCTTCCTTGTCAGAGTCAGTGGTCATTGCCAAAGTCATCTGTACAGCCACAAACTCAATCCCTCGAAACATTCAGTCCAAAAATAATTTTGACACACTCGCTTGCAAATGATGACTCAGCAGCCCATTCCATACCACATTCAACTCCACTTACCCACCCTTTCACCATAACCCTTAACTTCTTTACTGTTCAAAAATCTATCTATCTTAGCTTTAAAAACATTCAATGAAGAAGCCTCAACTGCTTCACTGGGCAGGGAATTCCACAGATTCACAATCCTTTGGGTGAAGATGTTCCTCCTCAACTCAGTCCTAAACCTGCTCCCCCTTATTTTGAGTCAACACCCCCTAGTTCTAGTTCCACCCACCAATGGAAGCAACCTCCCTGCTTCTATTTTATCTATTCCCTTCACAATTTTATACGTTTCTGTAAGAACATGCCATCATTCTTCTAGATTCTTCTAAATTCAGTCTCGCCTCATAAGCAAACCCCCTCAACTCCAAAATAAACCTAGTGAAACTCCTCTGCACCTCCTCCAGTGCCAGTACATCCTTTCTCAAACAAGGAGACCAAAACTAAACACAGTACTCCACGTATAGCCTCACCAGCACCCTATACAGCTTCAACATAACCTCCCTGTTTTTGAACTCAATCCCTGTAGCAATGAAGGACAATATTCCATTTGCCTTCTTAATTACCTGCTGCACCTGCAAACCAACCTTCATGCACCAGGACACCCAGGTCCCTCTGCACAGCAGCTTGCTGCAATTTTTTACCATTCAAATAATAGTTCTTTTCACTGTTATTCCTACCAAAATTGATGACTCCGCATTTACCAACATTGTACTCCATCTGCCAGACCTTTGCCCACTCACTCACCCACACACACACCTACACACACATCTACACACGCACCTGCACAGACACCCACACACACAGCTACACACACACACCCACACACACACACCTACTCACACACCCACATGTACACCTACACACACACCTGCACAGACACCCACACACACACACCTACTCCCACACCCACACCTACATACACACCCACACCTACACACACACACACGCACACCTACAAACACACCCACACACACAGCTACACACATACCCACACCCAGACACACACCCACACCTATATACACACCTACTGTCACACCTACACACACACTCACGCATACCCTACGCATGCATACACCTACGCACACACACATCCGTACATACACACCCACCCCAACTCCCACAGACACCTACAGACACACACACACCTACATCCACACACACACACACCCACATCTACACCCACACTCACGCATACATCTATGCACACACACACCCACACATACACACCCCCGCCAACTCCCACAGACACCTACAGACACACACTCACACACCCACACACACATACCCACACATCCTCCTCCAACACACACCTACACAGACACATGCACTTACACACCCACACACACACCTACACCCATGTACATACCTATACACACACTCACACACCTATACCTACACAGGCACACACATAAACACCTACACACACTCACCCACACACACACCCCTCGTATATACACACATACCAACACCAAGACCCCACATACACACCTACACAGACAAACACACATTCTCACACATATGCATACACTCACACCCATACACACATAATATCACCAAGTATATTATTATAGATGTATATGACGATTGATAAAAGCTTTATGGTAATGATTGGAATATGACAGCTTTGTGAAATATTTCAGATTGTGTCGAGCCGATAGAAGACACATTTTATCAAAGTTTTTTTTATGAAGAAACAGGTTCATGTGCTGCAGCTCTTTTAACTCAACCAACTCAGTGCCTGTCACTCAATGGTTCATTTCTCTGGGTAGTGCCTTGACTGATCAGAGACAACTTGCTTGATTAAAAATTGAATAAAGTTTGGCAGTTAACTGTCAATCTGCAATAACGGGTGCATTCTCCATGCAATCTCTACCATCAACACCTCTACTATCCCATTTAGGAATGGAAAATTAATGCTGGTCCAGCCAGCAAAGCCCTTGTCCCGTGAGTGAATGGGGTAAAAACAGCCCACTTGCCAGCACTCTCCTCTCCTGCTGTGTAAATATTGGTTTCCTGTTGAATTTGTATTCTTGTTAAATGTCCTGATAATTGCAAGATGAAAAGCTTTGACACAGCTTTATGAACAATACTCAAGCTCTGTAATACTAAACAACTATTTCAGATTATGTGAGACAATACATTGAATACATTGCATCAGAGATCTGAAACTGTGAAGATGATTTGCCCACATGTACAATGTTTTTCCACGGTTGCAATTAGATACAGCGGATACAGTAGGATATAGATCAGTTGGAGGCGTGGGCAGAAAAATGGCAGAGAGAGTTTAATCTGGACAAATGTCAGGTGATGCATTTTGGAAGGTCAAGTACAGGTGGAAATTATACAGTGGATGGCAGAACCCTTAGGAGTATGATATGCATAGGGATCTGGGTGTGCAGGTCCACTGATCACTGAAGGTGGCAGTACAGATCGATAACGTTGTAAAAAGGGCCTATGGCCTGCTTGCCTTCATTGGAAGGGGCATTGAGTATAAGGATAGACATGTTATGCTGTAGCTTTACGGAACTTTAGTTAGGCTACACTTGGAATATTGTGTACAGTTCTGGTCATCACACAACCAAAAGGATGTAGATGATTTGGAGAGGGTACGGAAAAGGTTTACCAGGATGTTGCCTGGAATGGAGGATTTTAGCTTTGAAGAAAGGTTGGATAGACAGGGTTTGTTTTCACTGGAATGCAGGAGGACGAGGAGCGGCCAAATAGAAGTTTATAAGATTATGAATGGCATGGGTAGAGTCGAAGTATGAGGCTTTTTCCCAGGGTGGAGGAGTCAGTTACTAAGGTACAAGGGTTCAAGGTACAGAGGGGTAGCGGGGGTGGGGGGGAAGTTTAAAAGAGATGTGTGAGGCAGTTTTTTCACGCAAAGAGTGGTGAGCGCCTGGAATGTGCTGCCAGAGGAGGTGGTGGTAGCAGACACAATAGCAACTTTCAAGAAACACCTGGTCGAATACACGGATAGGAAGGGAATGGAGGGTTATGGATCCTGTAAGTGAAGACAGTTTTAGTATGGAAGGACAAAATGTGTCGGCACAAGCTTGGAGGGCCGAAGGGCCTGTTCCTGTGCTGTACTGTTCTTTGATTTCAATTTGAGCTTGCTTGAATAACTACCTTATTTTAGTATTTTTAAGAGACTTATGGTAATGGTCAAATAAATGAGACAAATCCCCGTGCAATTTTGTCAAACAGCACTGAAAAGAGTCAGGTTTTACGAAATTCCAAGTTTAAGGGTTCTCTTTGAGTGAGCAGCCATTCTTATTAACAAACATTTGTGCCAAACATTTCGCTCACTGTTTGAGGAAGAAAACACTGTGACAATTTTCAGCTGTCAATCTACACTCTCCCACTCAATGATGCCAGTGTATCACTGTCTTGTCAGTAGTTTACATTATAACTTGTTCAAATTGTGTTTAAATTATTAATCTGTCTGCTTCCTTAATCTTGTAAACCCCTCTGTTTCGCAGAGCCAGAAATATTTTTATGTAATATAAAACTGGCCTCATCTGACCCTTACTTATGTTTCCAGGAGCATGTTTCGATCTATTTACAGATATTAGAAGGAGCGAGTTATCAATAATGTAAAATACAGACATACCTCAGGGCCTGGCTCTCCCGGTCGTCCAGTCCGACCTTCATCGCCCTGTATTGAATCAGATAAAAAGCATCAGTCAGTGAATAACATGCCTTACTCTCCACTTTATCTTCCTGTGTGCTGCCTGGAACTGTATCCAAACTGGTGTTCGGCATTTTGTCACCTCCTGTCTCCCCAAAGTCTCTCCCACCGTCTACAAGGCACAAGTCAGGAGTGTGATGGAATACTCCCCACTTGCCTGGATGGGCACAGCTCCAACAACACACAAGAGGCTTGGCACCATCCAGAACAAAGCAGCCCCCGCTTGACTGGCACCACATCCACAAGCATCCACTCCCTCCACCACCGATGCTCAGTAGCAGCAGTGTGTACTATATACAAGATGCACTGCAGTAACTTAGGAATCCTCCTTAGGCTGTACCTTCCAAACCCACCGCAGAGAAGGACAAGGGCAGCAGAAAGATGGGGACGCCACCCCCACGCAAGTTCCCAGAGTAAACTTGAGAATGACGCACATTGCTTCGCCTTGCCTTGGATACCTGAAAACAGAGCTCCAGTACGGCCAGACCATGTATTGCCTGGTTTTATTTTTATTGTTTTTTTTCCCTTATCAAGTGGAATCATACACACCTTTCACTGTCTCTATGTCAAAATCCTAGAACTTTCTTTTCATTCATTCACGGGATGAGGGCATCACTGGCTAGGCAGCATTTATTGCCCATCCCTAATTGCCCAGAGGGCAGTTAAGAGTCAACCACATTGCTGTGGGTCTGGAGTCACATGTAGGCCAGACCAGGTAAGGATGGCAGTTTCCTTCCCTAAAGGGCAATAGTGAACCAAATAGGTTTTTCCTGACAATTGGCAACAGATTCCTGGTCATCATTAGACTCCTAATTCCAGATCGTTATTGGATTCAAATTCCACCATCTGCCATGGCAGGATTCGAACCTCTGTTGCCAAAAGGTTACCTGGGTCACTGGATTAATAGTCCAGTGAATACCACTAGGCCATCTAACTTCCCCCAACAGCTTCCCCCATACTCCTCCTAACTGCACTTACACAGACTCCAGTGGTTCAAGACTGCAACTCACTACCACCTTCTCAAGGAGTAATTAGGGATGGGCAATAAATGCTGGGCCCAGCCAGTGACCCCCACGTCCCATAAAAGATGAAACAACATCTCCACATGGTCACTGCTGACTGTCATGATGTTTATAGATACAGTAAACATTCTAGAGTGCTTCAGTTGTACCAATTTTATCACTGATCTCTAGCAGGAACTATTGATTGAAATGCAATGATCACTCCAAATTTCCCATAGTTTCTGGTGGGTGTTTCACTGATTCCAACAGAGTACCATCCAAACTGTAGTCTGTCTAGACATCACTGAGACCCACCTTTAATGGCGGATTCATGTTCAGCTTGTTTCTCTGCCTTAGTAACAATGATCTCGTCTGCATCGCTGAATGCATGCATACAACAACCACCAAACAACATTTTAAATGAGGCCTGCCGACGCTTGAAGTAACAACAAAAACATCTTGCATTTATATAGCACCCCCTCAGCGCAATCCAACATCCTGAGGAGCTTCATATGAACTAAAACATGCCCCCGAACCATGGCCACGGGGATATCAGGTCTGGTGTGCTAAAACTGGATTAAAGAGGTACGTTTTAGGGCATGGGGTTAATGCACAGGGTTTAGGTACAGAATCCCACAGCTTCAGACCCAGTCAGCTCAGGGCAGAGCAAGTAAAACCAGGGATGCTGGAGAGGCTAGAATAAGAGGGAGTCCAGCTCTCTCAGTGACACTCGGGAGGTTACAAAGATAAAGGCAGTGAGATATTTGAAAACATGGATGAGACTACATGCTACATAAATGCAAGGCTTTCATTTGTGAAGGAACAAACATTAGAGAATGATTTTATTTATGCTAAATCCGACTGTTTTGGAGCCAGACACTTCCTTGAACTGGTTGCTAAAATGTGGAAAAATATATTTTTTTCTTATGCTTTCATAGTTACAATTGAAAAAAAAACTCAATGTCTGCTTGTGGTTTTTTCACATCTATCAAACTGACTGGTGATCCAAACCGGAATGATTTATCTCTGATCTTGGAAGTTACACTGAACAAACCAAAGGTATTTTATAAGGAGGTTTTTCCATTAATTTTTCCTGTTCCTCTTTTGGAAGCTCTCTGATCCCATTCCCACATTCACATGAGACCCAGCTGTTAGCAAGGAGTCACAGCGAGAGAGAATCACCCCGAGTTGTGATCTGAGCTGTTTTAACTCTTGGTTACGCTGGAAATTGTCGAGAGAGAGAAATAATCAGTATTTGTTCAGCCTCGATCCCTGAGTCTGACTGTCCAGGAAAACCATCATCGGTTAAATCTGAACTCGCTCCATCCCCTGCTGATTCACAAGAAGTGAATCATTGGGCATCCACTTCATCTTCTGGAAAATTCGCCTGCCTGGGCTGTAATCCACACCTAAGTTGTGTTCTTCCACATCCACTCTTTCTTATTCACATCCGGCTGCACCCTGTGTACTAAAGCCTAAACTGCAGATCTTTTATACTTCAAACCCCCGCCTAGACTGTATCTTATTCTCCAGTGACCTCCTTCAGTCCTGTGGCATAGTGGCTCAGTGGTTAGTACTACTACCTCACAGCACCAGGGACTGGGGTTCAAATGCCTACCTCAGGTGACTGTTTGTGTGGAGTTTGCATGTTCTCCCTGTATCTGCATGGGTTTCCTCCCACAGCCTAAAGTTAGGCAGCTTGGCCAAGCTAAATTGTGCAGGCTAGATGGCTTAGTTGCAGAGATAGGATAGGGTGGGGGGCTGGTGTAGACTCTGTGGGCTGAATGGCCTCCTTCCTCACTGTAGCCAGGCCTCCTATGTGTTCTGATCCCTCCCTCTTTGGCTGAAATCTTAAGCCTCCTTATTTAAACAGAACAGTCTGCCTATGATTTATACACAAAGAAATGGGAGAACTAGTAGATCAATCAGCCCCCCTAAGCCTGCTTCAATATTCAATAAGATCGTGGCTGATCTGCTTGTGTTTCTAACTCCCATTTAAAACGTTGCCCCTTTGTTCTGGACTGACCCACAGAAGGGAGCATCCTTGTGACCATTTAGCACCTTACACACTTCAATCAAGTCACCTCCCACGCTTCCAGACCCCTATGGGTACAAGCCGAGACTGTTTTCCTCATAACACATCCCGCTGGTTCCAGGTATCAGACTAATGAACCTCCTCCAGCTCATTTACATGAGGAGACCATATGAGGAGACATAGTGTTCAGGAATTGGTCTCACTTGCAGTTTCTAAAAGCTTCTTTAAAAACATGATTCCTGTGAAATTTCCTATTCCTCCCATTCCTGCCTAATCCCATGTTTTGGATACACTTTGTGTTGAAATGTTGGATGACACGACATACAACTGTGCACACTACACAGTGAGGTAAACACAGTGGCCACACGTAAACTGGGCGAACAACACCTTGTATTCCACCTCGGGTGCTTACAGGCCAATGGCCTCAACATTCAATTCACCAGCTTCAAAATCTTCCCCAACCCTGCAAATCTTCCTTCTCACCCATCACCCCACCCTTCCCATTGAACAATCTCCACAACCCCCTACCTGCATCCACCCATCATCATCCCATCTACCTTCCCCCAGCCCCCCACCCCGTCCCTCTATTTCTGAGCTCCCCTCCCCCTCCCCAGTCCTGACGAAGGGTCCAGACTCGAAACGTCGACTCTCCTGCTTCTCTGATGCTGCCTGACCTGCTGTGTTCCTCCAGCTCTGCACTGTATCGATTCTGACTCCAGCATCGGCAGTTCTTGCTACCTCCACATTTCAACACTCTTACTCTTCACTGAAATTCACCTCAGTATATTTTGGCGCTTCTGTTTAAAGTGCTGATGTCTTGCTAAGGCTTTAAAGCAGGTTAGCAGTGAATGGAGAGTTTAGACATCTCCATCCCGTCTGCAATTCCCTCTTTCAAACCTTCGCTCCGGATTTTGTCGTTGCAAGGGATGTGGATTTTCAGAAACAACATTAGAAATTGCTGGAACATCTCAGCAGGTCTGGCTGCATCTGCGGAGAGAAAGCAGAGTTAACCATTTTGTTCAGAATAGACCCTGTTATAAAGAAGAGCCACTGAACCCAAAACGTTAACTCTGCACTGAACAAAATCGTTAACTCTGCTTTCTGTCCATAGATGCTGCCAGACCTGTTGAGCTTTTCCAGCAATTTTTGGTTTTGTTTCTGATTTCCAGCATTCGTAGTTCTTTCGGTTTTTATTTTGTTTATGTGCATTTTAAGCCCATGCTTCAATTTAGCTGTCTAACTATTTGATTGCAATTCAAATTCAACAGATCTTCACCTCCTTCTCACTCAATAGAAATCCGTTTGCTTCTATTCGGCACCTTTCACAGGCTCAGAACAATTCAGAAATGCTTCACCATCTTTCTCTGGTGCACCATCGCTGCTGCTATAGGCATGAAACAACATCGTGCATTTATAAGACATAGCAGCAGAAATTAGGCCATTCGGTCAATCGAATCAGCTCTGCTTTCAATCATGGCTGACAAGTTCCTCAACCCTATTCTCCTGCTTTCTCCCCGTAACCCTTGATCCCCTTGATAATCAAGAACCTATCTACCTCAATCTTAAATGTGCTCAATGCCCTGGCCTCCACAGCCTTCTGCAGCAGTAAATTCCATAGATTCACCACTCTCTGGCTGAAGAAGTTTCTCCTTATCTCCGTTCTAAAAGGTCTTCCCTTTACTCTGAGGCTGTGCCCTCGGGTCCTAGTCTCTCCTACAAATAAAAACATCTTCCCAACATCCACTCTACCCAGGCCATTCAGTATTCTGTAAGTTTCAATTAGATCCCCCCCTCATCTTTCTAAACTCCAATGAGTATAATCCCAGAGTCCTCAAATGTTCCTCATATGTTAACCTTTTCATTTCTGGGCCTGTTCTCGTGAATCTCCTCTGAACCCGCTCCAGGGCCAGTACATCCTTTCTGAGATATGGGGCCCAAAACTACACACACTATTCCAAATGTGGCCTGACCAGAGCCTTATAAAGCCTCAGTAGTATTTGCTTTTATATTCAAGTCTTCTCAAAATAAATGCCAACATTGCACTTCCCTTCTTAACTACTGACTCAACCTGCAAGTTTACCTTGAGAGAATCCTGGACTAGAACAGACTGGAATATATAGCACATTTCTCCACCTCACAACGTCTCAAAGTGCTTAATGGCCAACGAAATGCTAACTGAAATGCGGCAACTGCTGTAAAGCGGGAAGGAAAGACAGCCAAATTGTGCACAGCAAGATCCCACAAACAGCATTTTGGACAAATGACCAGATAATGTTTTAGTCGTATTGATTGAGGGAGAAACAATGGCCCCAGGGACCGCAGGAAAACCTTCTTCAAAGCCTTGGCCATGGGATTTTTGAGGCCCCTTCCTGCAACACCTGAGGGAGTAGGCCTGGCTTCAGTTGAACCATTGCTCTACAAGAAAACGTAATGTCCAGTTCGATGGCAGCATAGAGGTAAGCTTTCCCTCAGTACTTACCTCTTGACCAGACAGACCCTGTGGCCCAGGTAGGCCTCGTGCTCCTGGTTTTCCCTGGGAAAGATTTCAAAAAAAACAGAGAATATCAGACGTAGAAAATATTTCTCAAAGTTAGCCAGCAACCCGAGGTCCAGATTATTGCCACGAGCGTCCGCAGCTGGCCTGACCTCCCAGGTTCCTCACAAGGCCTTCCAGAAAATTTTTTTAAACCAACTGGAGCAAGATCAACAAAACAAAAATGCAAGCAGCACCATTTGGATAGGGGCAATCTTCTAGAAAGCAAACCCGGTGGCAAAATCATTAGTTGGCCACTTTAGTTGGCCGATGGTGTGCCTGATTGGAAAGGGACTCACCTTTGGGCCTTCCGGACCATTTTGCCCTGGAAGACCGATGTCTCCTGGGAAACCCTGCATTTGTAAGATAAAAGCAAGACAGTTTGTGAATTTGCAGCCCTTCACAGATGCGCTTAATAAAATACATTTTGTATTGTTTACAGTCATTGAAATTATGAAGCTGAGACTCTAACCATTCTATTTTCCTTAATGCTAGCGCTGTGTTTGACTCCTCATTCTTTGAGTATGCCCATAGGCTATGCGTAATTTGGTGTAAGTTCGATTTGACAGGTAAGCTGGTTCTAAGGGATTGGATTATGTTTAAACAGGAGAACTTAAGAACTAGAAGCAGGCCATTCAGCCCTTCGAGCCTGCTCCCCTCTTTGATATGATCATGGCCAATCTCATCTTCGCCTCAACTCCACTTTCCTGCCTGCTCCCTATAGCACATACATTCTGAGGAAGGGTCACCGGACCTGAAACGTTAACTGATTTCTTTTCCTTCACAGATGCTGCCAGACTTGCTGAGCTTTTCCAGCAACTTCCGTCTTAGCTCCTGATTTACAGCATCCGCGGTTCTTTTGGTTTTTATTTCCTATAACACAACACTGACAAAAAAAAATCTGTCTATCTCCTCCTTAAATTTGCTTAGTGTCCCGGCTTCCATCGCGCTCTTTCGGGGAGTGAATTTGACAGATTCATGTCTCTTTGAGAGAAGTAGATCCCCTTCATCTCTGTTTGGAATCTGCAAACCTCTGAGCAGGGAGAACGCACATTGCTGTAGGCTGCTTCAGCTCAGCTTGAGGGGTGATCAGCAATCAAGAGGTTGTTGGAGGTTGGCATCTGCAGGTGGTGCCCAGTAAGAGGGGGGCGGATTAGGGGACCGGGGGGGGAATGTGAGGGTCTATGGGGGTGGAAGGTGAGGGGCAGATTTGTGGAGAAATGGGGGAGGGGGGAGAGATGGGGTTGTGATGGGGGATGTGATGGGAGGTAGATGGGAGGGGTGACAGGAAGGGGGATGGGAGTGCGATGGGCAGCGTTCTGCTTCCTCCCATGACTGCAGTCCAACCTGGGTTGCCACATCTGCTGGAAGTCCCAAGTACAGTGTAGGTGTCTCCTTCATGCCATCAGTGGATTTTGTTAGACTCCAACATCCGCCCCTCTGTTGGGAGGTGGAGGATCCCAGTGTTCACCACGAGGAGGGAACGAGATTGAGGATGCACATCCGGGGCGCTTTTCCAATCAAAGATCACATCCTTATGCACATGAGCGCCACATCAGCTAAACCATCTGGTGAGCCTCTGCCCCTTTGGAATCCAACGTTTTTATCTTAAAGTCATAGAGTGACGGAAACAGCCCCTTCAGCCCAACTCACCCATACCAATCAGGTTTCCTAAACCGGACTCGTGCTGTTTGCCTGCATTTGGCCCATATCCCTCTAAACCTTTCCTATCCACGTACCTGTCCAAATGTCCCTTTAATGTTGTGAGTGTACCTGCATGCACCACTTCCTCTGGCAGCTCATTCCAAATACACACCGCCCCACTGTGTGAAAAAGTTGCCCCTCAGGTCTCTTTCAAATCTTTCCCCTCTCACCATGCCCCTCTAGGTTTGGACTCCCCTACCCCTGGGGGAAAAGACCTTTGCTATTCACCCTAGCCATGCCCCTCATGATTTTATAAACCTCTATAAGATCGCCCCTCAGCCTCTGACGCTTCAGGGTAAAAAGACCCAGCCCATACAGCCCCTCCCCATGACTCAAACCCTCCACTCTTAAATAGATTTTAAAGTTTGTACAAATGTAAGGAAAAGTTAAGGATGAAGGGCTTCAGGTGCTGATCTCTCCAAAACTCCAACATATTCGATCTAATAGTTAATTGCATTTTGAATTGATCTAACTAAATTGCATCAATTTACTCAGGGTCCTAGCATCAGCTGCACTCTTGGGTAATGAATCCAACAACTTCATGACCCTTGACTCTGGGTCTGGTTCCAGTGGAGAGATTATGTCAAATATTTGTCAATCTTTGGTTAAATTATTTTTCTTGCATTCTTTTCAATTCACCTTAGGCTGAATTTATTAGGAGGTCAAATATTTAAACTGATATAAAAACAGAAATTGTTGGAGAAACACAGCAGGTCTGGCAGCATCTGCGGAAAGAGAAACAAGGGTTAACGTTTCGGGTCCAGGGACCCTAATTCAGAACCGTGCTTTCTGCACACAGATGTTGCCAGACCTGTTGAGTTTCTCCAGCATTTTCCATTTTTGTTTCAGATTTCCAGTATCTGCAGTTCTCTGTTTAACAATAATGATGCCACATTCTGGATTAACCTTATCTGGAGAATATGCTACATCTCTCAATGTGGTCTTCCATTAATTACCTTCTCATTAGACTGATCAAATCGATATAAAGACCACATGGCACAATATCAAAGAAGACCAAAATGAAACAACTCCACAGAGGCTGGTGTCCTGTCACCAAGCCACCTTTTATTTACAATGAACTGTCCTAGACTGTAGCACTGTCTTACACAGAGTCAGATACCAGAGTGTCAGTATTCCAAACACTCCATCTTTTTATCTGTCAGCCAGGGCTCCCTGATTGGACCAGGTTTACAGCCCCAATCAGGGAACTCCTATTCTATGAAGTCCACCTGGCTGACCCTGTTACAATCACGACACAAACAATTTATTTCCAGTTCCCTGGGCCCAATATCTATTTCCCCAGTAACTGTCACTAATGTGAGCTGTGTGCAATCTGACTGCTGCATTTCTGTAAGAAAACTATTTGCAGGATATGGTGGCTCAGTGGTTAGCACAGCTGCCTCACAGCACCAGGGACCTGGGTTCAATTCCACCCTCGGGTGACTGTCTGTGTGGAGTTAGCGCATTCTCTCTGCGTCTGTGTGGGTTTCCTCTGGGTGCTCCGGTTTCCTCCCACAGTCCAAAGATGAGCAGGTTAGGCAGATCGGCCATGCTAAATTGCCCATAATGTCCAGGCTAGGTGGGTTAGCTGTGGGAAATGCAGGGTTACAAGGTAGGGAGTTGGGTCTGGGTGGGAGGCTCTTCAGAGGGTTGGTGTGGACTCGATAGGCCAAATGGCCTGCTTTCACACTGTAGGGATTCTATGGGGTGTCATTGAAAGGTCAACATTTAATGCCCATCCCTAACTGCTCTTAACAAAGTGATTGGCTGACCCACTTTCAGAGGAAATCTAAGATATTGCATTAGTAGAAACAGATGGTGCTGGAGAAACTCAGCAGATCAGCAGCATCTGTGGAGAGAGAAACATAGCCAGTACTTTGAGTCTGGTTGTGACTTTTGTCTGGAACCCTATGTAAGATATCACACCGCTGTGAATTCAGTCTTCAGCCAGACTAGGTACAAAGAGCAGATTTCATTACCGAGAGGGAGTTCATGAACGACAACAGCAACGTGGCCAATGATATCCAACAGAAAGATAAACAGCTCAGCAACAGAATGAAAATTAAATCTGGCGGTTGCTGTGCCTGGAGCCCACCTGGGATCTGCCAATGACCAAGATCAGGGGCATCATTGTTTTATGAATCATAGAAAGGCAAGTACACAAGAACAGGCCATTTGGTCCAACAGGTCTGTGCTAACTCTTTGCAAGGGCAATTTCCATAGTGCTTTTCCTTGTAGCCCTTCTTTTCCCCTTCAAGGGGTTTATCCAAGCACTTTGAGTCTGTATCAGTTACATTCTCAGGAGGTGTCTTCCATGGCCTGTGTACTCTGCCTAGAGGGCAGCTCATCTAGTACAGTGGGTAGTGTCCTGCCTCTGAGCCTGAAGCTCCAGACACACACGGACACTCCACCTTTGGAATGTGGGAGGAAACCAGAGCAAACCCACGCTGACACGGGGAGATATGTGCAAACTCCACACACACAGTCACCCGAAGCTGGAATCGAACCCGGGTCCCTGGAGCTGTGAGGCAGTAGCGTGAGCCACTGGGCCACTGTACTGGGGGAATACTTTGTGAATAACAGAAACATGGAGCCTTTTCACTGTCCGTGCTTCGGATAACCAACACATTCCTGGGACTGACTTGAAAGAAATTATTGAGAAGCAAGCAGACTATTGATGGCAAGGAAAAACAGCAACACTGCACTGCACTGCCCTGTCTTCAGTAACGTATGGGTTACTGAACCGTAACCCATTGCCTGGCTCTTGTCCCCGTGGGTTTGAGATAAAGTTGCAGTGCTACAGCTTTGCTGTGACCCACAGCGAGGGCCATTGCTTTTGAGTCTAGACCAGAGCACTTGAATAAACCCAGGGTGCTGTTGCCACGGGAATGCAGAGAGCAGGCTCTCCATTACTCAGTGCCAATACGCAGCGTATCCCACATCACAGCATGCCAGGATGCACAGCAGAGATCATACCCTCCCTACCAGGAGACAGGGAGAAACTGCTCCTGCTCGTGAAAGGATCAAGAACGAGAGGTCATTGCTTTAAAACGATGTGCAAATGACGTAAGGGTGATGTGTGAAAAAATAAAACAGTCAGTGGCTCGGGTCGGGAATGCGCTGCCTGGAAATGGGGTTTAACTGAGGCAATGAAGAGAGGAAATGGATGGTTATTTAAACAGAAATAAAGTGCAAGTGTATGGGGGCAAGAGCAGGAGACTGGTATGAGGTGGTGATGCTCTGTTGAAGAGCCAGAGCAGGCATGATGAACCAATCAACCCCCTCTGCACCATAACAATTCTTTGATTCTGCTTGTTCAGTTGAGGCACTCAGGTAAGGGAAAGTGATGGCCCAGCGGTATTAACACCAGACTTTAGATCTGGGTAATGTTCTGGGGACCTGGGTTCAAATCCTGTCATGGGAGATAGTGATACCCATTGTTGGGAAATCCTCAATGGCTCACTAATGTCCTTTAGGGAAGGAAACTGCCTTCCTTACCTGGTCTGGCCTACATATGACTCCAGACCCACAGCAATATGGTGGACTCTGGGCAATTTTGGATGGATAATAAATGTTGGCCTAGCCTGCAACACCCATAGTCCGTGAATAAAATATAAGAGAACACTGAATGATTGTTTGGATAGAAATA